CGGCGGTGCCGAAGGCGAGCAGCAAGGAGAGCTCTTGCCGACTCTTTGGTGAGTCCGTCGGCGATTTGCCTTTCTGAGCTCATCCAACGAAGTTGTCCTCCAAGCTCCTCCATCATTTCCTTCTTGTGCGAAAGCTGCGCCAGTCAAGTACATGATATTTTTTTAATCCTCGCCGGAGGTGAACAGCTGCTTGTTGACAAGCATCTGGATGTAACCACCTTGCGAGCTACCATCTGCACGAGCGGTGAATCCAGCATCAAAGAAACACAACAACTGCAGCCCTGAAGGGTGCCCAATGTGGTTGTAGTAGAGGCTGACGTCCTTGTGCTCTTTGGCAAACTTCAGTAGTTTGTTGCGCTCAGTTGCAGTGTTCACGGTAGCCTTGGAGACCTGGCCGGAGAGCGTGGATGTGGAGCACTGCAAATGTGGTGATGTCTGCGCAGCAGGCCAATGATTGAGCGGTTCTTGGAGGTTGCGATTCTTGGAGATCGTGATGGGTTTGGCCTTGCTGAAGTAGCTTTCTTGATGTAGGCGCCTTCCGCCTTCAGGAGTGTTCTCAAGCTCGCAACCGCAATACTCCAGCTTGGGATGATGTCCCCTTTCCATTCTTGAAATGAGAAGTTGGCAAGCTGTTCTGCTGGTGGTCGTGGTATGTTTGGCTGTGCCTCGGACGAGGTGTTTGTGGTTGCTGTGCTGGTGTCTTCGTATGGTGCTTGCCCGTGTGTGCGGCGATGCCGAAAGGGTGCAAAGCTGAGTGTCTCCTGTCTGTTGTTGCTGGTTCGTAAAGTGCTGCGGTTGCAGGGCCCAGTATTGGACTGTTGATAGCTGCTGGTGGCTCCTCACTTGGTTCCTGGCTCGGTTCCGAGAGTCCATCATCATCCTCGAAACGGGCAACTCTTCGGGTGTCTCTGCAACTGGGCCTTCTTCCAGAGCAGTTGGTGCCGTGGGCTGCGGCGGTGCTTCTGCCGGTTCTGGCTGTGATGCTGGCGCTTGCTCGGCAACAGCTGGTGCTGGCGGACCCAGAGAGTGAGCCTTGGTCGTTGTCGTGGCGGTATCATTTCATGCTCTGACTCTGTGTCCATGTTGGATCCTTCACCGTGTTCACCCTCCTCCACATCTGCCAAGTTCTGGTGATTGGTGCGGCGCAGGTCATAGAACCGGATCACGCCATGAGGGCGAAGCTGGCCCACTGTATTCAAAGCCGTCTGGGTGTCATCGATGGCGTGGTTGAAGCTCTTCACATCAGCCCGCACATGGTGAGGTGCACATCGGACCAGCTGCGACTTGAAAGCGAGCCAGTAGACTGAGACAGGGCCATCGCTTTCGCCTTCTGCGGGACGTCTCTCTTTCATCACAACCTGTGCAGGGCCGAGCCAACGAATCTTCACCAGGTCGGGCTGTCTTGCATCTCGCCAAAACCATACTTGTTGACCCAAAGCGTACTCAGCATTGATGCCCTTGTACTTGAGGTTCAAGGCACGACGCAGGCGACGATCGGCGTCAGCATCATTGAGGGCCTTGCGGGCAGCGTGTCTCTTGGCGAGCGTGTCTTCGAAGGTCTGATTGCCGCCAAAGTGTGCCGGTTCAGTGGCATCAGACAGCAAATCACCAGCCAGGGAGGGCTGGTAGCCCAACGCCCACTGAGACGGAGAGAAACCAGCAACGCCAGGTGCACTGTTCATCTGTCGAACGATGTAGCTGAGAGCTTCTTGGATGTGTGACGGTCCATCGGCGGCCATGTCATCAAGGTAGACCTCAACGGACTTCCTGATCATTGCGTGGCGACGTTCAAACAGTGCCAGGCGCTCATAAGCCTCGCCAGGTGCCACGGAGTGCTTGATGTGGGCTGCAGTCCATTCATCCATCTGGTTGCTGAGCCAACCTCGGCCTTCATCAGTGAGCAGGGTCGTAGGTGGGGCCTAAAGTGGGAAATCCATGCTCGTTCAAGGGCCTTGATGTAGTTGTCAGTGTGCTTGGAGTTGATCAGCACTGCCGCAGTGTAGCGCGTGGTGTGGCGCTATCGACCAAACTCATGATGGCATACTTGACGGTGCCACGTCGCAACCACATCACATCGGCCTGCAGAACTTCGTTGAAGTTGAGGACAGTGGGCATGGCAGCTGGTGCAGCCTGTGCAGGTTTCTTGTACTCGGCGCAGGCAAATCATCGGTAGGTCATGGCCGCTTGGATGGCTCAGAAGCTCCACGAGTCTCTAGCAGTTGAACCAGCGCCTTCGGCGAGGGATCTGTGCGGATGGCGTCCTGCTTGGTGTGGCTTCGAAGTCGAATCAGGGAGCTTGTCGTTTCCCAGTAGATGGGAACTTCATCAACTGCCAGTGCTGCTGCCAAAGTGGCAGCTTGCGCAGGTTGATACTCCTCGCGAGAACCGTAGCCGGGTGCCGCGCCTTCCAAAGGACAATGCTCATGGTCGTGTTGGCGTTGCAGAGTGAAGGCGTCTTGAACGGCCTGTTTGGTCGTGTGGAAGGTGGTGTTCTTCTGTACTGGCTTCCAAACGCCATCAATGTCCAAACACTGAGCTCCATAGCGACAGTGCGAAAGTCGGCTCGTCTGCCAGGTCTGCCATGAAGGCGCATGCTTCGGCTGCTCGATAGTGGCATGTCTGCCGCCCTTCACTTGGCATAGATAGCCTCTTCGGGTGAACATCAGGTGGCTGTCGTGATGATGTTGGCGAGCAGCTTTCAATGCCTCTTTCTGGGCAGGTGTCCGGCGGCCAAGGGACTGCGTGCGGCTCCAGAGCAGCTCATCAGGGGCTTCTTCTTCAAGTAGCGCTAGGAATTCATCTTGGTGCTTCAACTGCTCGAAGTCCCAGCCGGTTTCATAGGAGGAGCGTCGGACTTCCATGCCCAAAGCTTCAGCCATCTGTGCCGTTCGAGCTTTCCCACAGTATACTTCCCAGAGTACACGAGGACGCTCAGGTCGATGTAGCTCCTTGGTGACATAGGCGGACAAGTTGAGCTGAGTGAAGTCATGCCTGCGAAGTGGCAGGAGGTGAGGCCGTGCTCAGCCATCATAAAGTCGTTGAGCTTGTGCCCCTCATCTTGTTCCATGTCCGCAGGACAAATTCAGGTCGTTCTGGGTCATAGTGGATGCTGCATTCGTGAGGGACCAGAGGTACTCGCCTTGTCTTCGCCGGGATCCAAGGTGAGCTTCCGACGCGAAGGCGCTTCTGAGCGAAATGCATGGTCATGCCCAGTGCTTTGATGATCGGACGGCCACATAGCGTAGGCGTGTTGCCTGGTAGCAAGAGGAGCTCGATGGTGCCATACTTGCCGTCCACTTACGTGGGGACAGGCCAATCTGACCACATGGAGGCATCGCCTCCAAACTGGAAGCGTCTCCGACCTTTTCTCATCTTGATGATCGTCGACCTGAATGGGGAAGTCCAAGATGACCCAGGTATCTTCTGAAGGGGCCATAGCCAGACAAGAAAGCGCGGGCTCCAGGATCAAGCATCACGCATTCAGGTCTCTCAGCGCCGGTGTGGGGTGCTGAGGGCAGTCTCAAGCTTGCGCTCCACTATTCGCTGCAGGGCGCTTGGTGGCAGGTGTGCGTGTTGTTGGGATCAATGAACTCTGTGGGCAATTGGCTGCCCAATGTCCTGCTTCCTTTTGTTAGCCATGAGGCAGCTGAGGCTGGAGAAGTGACATTGGACGATGAGCCACCTCCTCCGTCCGTCAAGGCGACGATGGGAAGGTAACCTCGAGCTGTCTTGAGTTCTTGGAAGCGACGACGGGCATCCGTGTAGGAGGCAAAGGCGGCGTCATAAGCGGAGGCCATTTGGGATGGGCTGTTGACCTCTTCATTGTCCGGCCAGGGTTATTTTTCTTCACCGTAGTGGCCAGCGTCTTGGTCAGAGTCTTGGCCTTCATCATAGACCTCATAGTCTTGTGGTTCTTCAGCCCATTGTTCATCATCCTCATAGTATCCGGCCTCCCACATGTCATCATCCGGATAGCCCTCATCCTCATAGTCTTTCGATACCCCAATCCTGGAACAATCGCCAGGTCACGCCAGTGAAGGAGCCCACGATGTTGAGGACACTTTCATTTGACCGCTTGGTCAAGGACATCTTCCGGTGCATGGTAGAGCTGAATCCTCTCTCTCCACTCCCTGTAGTCAGCCGGTTGGCCTGAGAAGAGCGGCGCGTAGCTGTCCCTCAAGTCCAGAAAGGACGTGCCGTCTTGGCTGAGCTCGATCCCGATGCCTGCGGCTTGGCGGCGTGATGCGGTTCTCAGGGACAAAGGGCTCTGCCTATCTGGTTGAACTACCAATGCCAAACGCGCCGCGGGTCTCAGCTGGGACGAAGAGCTCGTGGTCGCGAGTGCGCAGGTAGGGAGCCCGGGGCGACCGGGCTCCGCTACCAATGTCGAATTGGTGTAGCGGCTCACGAGGGTCCACTGCAAGGAGAAGCGGGTGGAACGAACGAGTTTGAACCGGAGGGGGCGAATGAACGCCACATGCGCGTAGCTCTCTTTTGAGCTTCTTGAGCCCGCCCTCTGCAGGCGGTCAGTCTGAGGTCCGGACAAGTGAAAAACACATGTGACATGTCAAGTCACTGATGCTCAGCGAGCATCTTCACACGACCGCAGAAAAGGTACTGTAAACAATTCACCCTAGATGTTTCTTGGCTTCAATTGTTACAGTTGGGCTGGCAAGGGGGTGTCCCCAAAGAGTCTGTATGTCTGTATATATATATATATACTTATATATGTGTGTTGTTTACGTCGTTTGTTTCTTTTTGAGTCTTTGAAAACGTTTTTTTGTGGGAGGGCCCCCAAAGAGTCTGTATAGGTTGATTTTGTTGTTTTAAATCTAGTTTGTGTAAGCCAGCTCTTGGTTGAGGCCTTTGGCAGTGCACTTGCAAATGCTGATGTGGCTTTATGTTCACAACGATGCTGAAAAAGTGCACTGAGATCTTTATTGAATGGGGCCTTATATACCTTATTTTTTCCATGTGTGACTCGCACGCTACCATGCCAGGCAATTTCACCTTACTGGATGCTGCATAGCCTGCCCTGGTGCATGGAACTCAGGGCTGGTCATTCTTTGCTTCTTGCAAAGCAATCCAACACTGCAACACCACTTTTCAAAAAATGCAACAGAAGCAGTCTTGGGTTTGTGGGGTTCCCAGATTTCCTCATTCCCAAAGCATCCGAACAAATCATCCAATTTGCAAAAACGTGAAACGAACATACAAGCAAATACCAAGGGCAAGGCTTTCTTAGTGAGCACTTTGCCTTGCCCACGCAAATGATCTCGAAATTGCTAGATCCCTTGGCCAGAGAGTAAGCGCACGGTCAGACGTCCAATCATCAGTCCAGTTGTCGTCCAAAACAAATGGCGTAGAACTTCCATGGCAGCTGTTTAGCTCAGGTTGCCAACATGGTAGTTGTGGAGGGCGGCCCTCGTGCTGTCAAACGCTATAAGAAGCTCATGATCAGGCCAGCAGAAGACGGACCAGCAGAAGTGACACAGAAGTGACAACAAAGGAGTGACAAAGGAGACTGGCACGAAAGTGTTTTTTTAAAGCCCGTGGCCCTGCCTTCTTACTGAATTAAATTGGCACCTTGTACACTTCTAGCTACTAGGACGCTACTACATATGGACGCTTCTTCAAGGGAGCTCCCCCGCTGGGAGCTTCCTTGAAGAAGCGCTCGCACTAATGATTTGGGTTCCTAGATTTTTGGGGAAACTTAATATGTAGCTGTTGCATTTGTGGTTCTAGTGAAGCTCAAGGCGCATCAAGTGGACCGAAGAGCAAGCAGATGATGTGCAAATCTCAAAGCATTAGTCAACACAGGTGTTTGCTTTTAACTATCATCATTACTTTTCCTTTCGGTTCTTCACACAATTTGATTCTATTTTGAGGATGATGACGACGAAGACCAGGATGAGGTTACTGCACCCAAGCTTCAAGACTTTTGTGTGCAACCCTAAGAGCCTTTGAGCCTAAGTTTAGCCACCTTCAGCATGCAAGTATTGATCGCACCTATTCTCTTAGCGAATCCAAGGTGCTCATTTGGGAAGGCGTTGTGAAGCAGAGGAGCTTCAAGAACTGGAAGGCCCAAGTACGAAAAGCAAGCCTCGCAAAAGGTTCAGAATTCAGATGTTGAGGTGACGCATGTGCGGACCGAGCCCGAAGCCAGAAAGCTTCTGAATGCGGTCGACTCAGAGCGCTGTTTCGCATGACCAGGTTCTCGAGACTTTCGAACAAACAGTACACTTTCATACGTGCTCAAGGATCGGCAAGCCGAGCACTACTGGGACGTACTGCTGCCTCCTTTTAGCTTGAATGCCACGTCTATCATGAGCCGTTTGAGGTTGGAAGAACAGCTCAAGACCTGTGTCAAACTGTCAAACAAACACCCTCAGAAAGCACATCCCAGATCTTTGCTGTTCCTTGTGCTTCAGCTTTGGTCTCCCTGGCTAAACTCACTTGCTTAACATGCCCATTATCCTGCCAGATGCTGGCACGATATCGAGATCCGCGTATGGACATTTGAGGGGCCGAGCGTCCAGACAATGCTTGTCACGGTTACCGCCGCAGCAGCAGTGAAGAAAAATAGCTCAACCAGCTCCACTGCATGTGCACCCTGACCGACAAATGTCAAAGTCTGAAAAAGAAAGGAGTGCATTTGCCAACAAGAATAAGATACCTGCAAATCTTTCTCTTGTTCTTACTTGTCATCTCATGTTGTTTAAACGCGGCCAGAGCAGTGCGACCCTTCAAATGTGCCGCGCAGCTGTGAAGTCTCAAGTCGATCGACACCTGTTGGTCTTGCAGCTTTGCCGAGATGTCCACATGGCAAGTTTTAGCATGGAGATTTTATGTTGGAGAACGTCTGCTGAGTTTGGCTGATTGAGCTTTTTAGGTTTGACTCTAAGAAGGAGAAATAGGTTGTTGACAGCACTGATTCGCTCGTTTAATCTCCTTCCCAACCAAAGCTAGCTGGCCAGATCTAACTACAACTATTCTGTTTGTTTGCGTGTTCAATAGATTGTGTGCAATTCTTTTTCCGCTGAAAGTCTTTGTCAGTGTATCTATGCACTATAATTAGTGCCTTTTCCTTCATCCTGTTGCTCCATTTAATCCACACTACCTACGTTCGCATCCCAATCTCTGCCTTGATGGGTCTTCCGAGTCTTCCTCCATCTCAAATCTCAATCCTCATACCTAGTGTAGTTGGTTCCAGTGACTCTTGAGATCATCTTCGTTGAACCATCATTTAGAATCAAATGGAGTCAGCTTTAAGTTGTAGTAGGCTATTCAAGGAGAGGCATGCCACTGCTTATAAGAGCACACCACTGGCTTTACTAATAGGACTGACTATACATATATATATATATATATGCACGGTAGCCCGGAGGTGTCAAGCTCGAAGGTACTGGATCCCGTGGACACCGATGAGGAATGGCGTGAGTGCGACTCGTCAGGCGGTTTTCCGTCTGCTGGATGTCTTGTACCAAAAGAACTTCGGTCGCGGTGCGACTCGATCACTACACTAGCTATCGTGGGATGATCGTCCAAGTGAACACTTGCATGCCACTCTCTTTCCAAATGTCCCTTCCTTTGAACAAGCAACAACAAACACAAGCAACCGACCACGAAAAACCAAAAACCGCAAGTCAAACCTCTTCGTCGTCCTTGTGGACGTGTGATGTATGTTGTGGAGGTTGGGTATGGAGTGCTGGTTGTTCTGGTGAGTCTGGTGTGACTCCTGGTTGATCCTCCAAAGGCCCTTGGCCCTTCTCCTTCCTTTTCTTTGCAGAGGACATAGTCGGATCTTCAACTATCTTTCAGGCACTGCCGAGCTGGTAGAACAAAAGATGCCTCAGAGTGGACCCATCGGACCTTCACCTTATTTAGTGATTGTCCTTCTTTGATCCTCATGAGAGTGACATCAGTTCTTCTTTCAGCGCCCTTAGCCACTATCACTTCATTCTTCAACTTGTCATAAACATTGCGGCTGTCAGTAACGAGGCAACCGTCTATCATGTTGACAGTGGTGTTGGGGTCACGTATGTTCACTTCGTTTCCCATCATTTCAGAAATCTGGAACCTACAGAAATACAATAAATCCTCGGCATTAGCTGCCGCAATGGCTTCTGAAGAACCTGGACTTGAGCATACTCGTCCAATTTTCGACGAGTTCCAAGCTACAATGGAGACAGGAGTGCATTCTCCCTTTAGGAGAGAGCGAGAAGTGGCTCCAATCACAATGCCTTGGGTGCTACCGCCATCATAGCGGTTGATAGCTGCTGCATCTGCCCAGGCTACAATCACCAAGTCTTCCAGCGGAATGGGATGGATCTTGAGACGGTGGTCTTTCATGCTCTTGACATGGTCCAAAAGACGATTTGCCGTAAACAAAGTTTCCACCGTGCTATGGTTCACCTCTGAAAGAAGCAGGCTGACTTCTGCTGAAAAATGGGGTGCAACTTGTTGTGCGTGCCAGCTAATTCCTCCCAGAAGAGCTTGAAGGTGTGTCTTTTCAATCTCCTCTGTGGGTGAGTGCTTTTCTCTTTTTCGAGAGGCTCGGATGTTGATGTATTTCAAGTCTTCCACATATTGTTTTTGTGACAAGGAGTAGGTTCCATCGTGTTCTTGTTCTATCAACACTCCGCATTGTACGAAGCTTTTCTGTTCCCAGTCTGACCATTTGTACTCCTTCTGAATGGCGGCCTCGACTTGTTGCCAGACGGGATCGTCTGCTTTTCCTGAGAACAGAAAGTCATTTACGTGGCCTGTGATGATGCCACGCAGGCACCCATCTTTAGTGAGTGTCCAACAACACGGATCGCTCCATGACTTTTTCAAACCCAGGGAGGCAAAGGATGAGCTGATAGATCTATACCATTCCAAAGGTGCATCAACTAAACCGTAGCATGCTTTCTTGACCTTGGTGATGCTTCTTGGAGGTAAATTCATAGCTTCCAGGATTTCAGGACATGGAATGCAGAGTAAGTCATCTGGGTATTCTCGAGACTGGAGATTAAGCCCCAGTGACATCTCCTTTCTTGGTGTCAAAGCCCATGGAAGCACTGAGTTGTAACTGCAGTTGTCTGGACTGTCGTGTTGTTGTTGGTGAATGAGTGGCCCGTTCCTCATAATGAGGATCTTGGTAGCCTTGTAGAACTGCTCGAGCCTTTGCTTTTCTTGAGCCATCGGGTTTTGTTTTCCATACCAGGATCCAGCGCATGTTAATGGCCTGGTCACGAGAAATTTGATCATCTGGTGGCAAGGCTTCAAATGCCTTAGCTGCCAAGAAATTGTTGACCTCTATGGACTTGGCTGCTTGGAATTGAAGGCGCTCTTCTGGGGTGAGGAACCGTTCTGAAACCTCTATTCCTTCCTCTTCAAAGCGGTCACCAAAAAGCTCTTGAGATCTTTGAGGGCGTTGTCCATGCCATGTCGTGAGTTGGGCATCTCAATCTCGATGCTATACAGGACCTCTTGTTGTTGTTTTGTTGTATTGTCCACAAAGAAGGAACTGTCAACCATTTCTGACCAATGTGGAGCTGCCATGAAGCCTTCTCCGGAAGGTTCTGATCTTCCGGGTCGTGGGCTGCGACTCCTGGCCGGTTCTGTAGGAGTGTATTTTCTTCGGCTCCTGTGTGACTGCCTGAGTAGGGTCTCGGAGGAGGAGTTCTCGAGCGAGGCCTGTGTCTCTTCTCACTCAGACGGTGAGTGGGTTGCCACTCGTGGTCTGGATTCCCTGCTCGAAGCCACTCGTCCTCTTCCGGTTGTTCTGACAGGTCATCGTATTCTGTTCCACCCAGTTCTTCCGCCACACGAGGAAAATCCCAACGTGGCAATTGCCTTGTTTCATGAAGTTCCAGGAGCACAGTTTCGCGATCTGTTGCATGTCGGAGTTGTTCTGGGCAACACTTCAGGAGTCGCCGGCCTCTAACCAGCCAGATTGAACTCCCTGGACAATCTGTCCTGCTGAGTCCCGTTTATTTTCTGTCGCTACCATTCTCGCAGGCCCCACAAAGCGGCCTTGGCCAATCTTGTTCTGTTGTGCGTCTTCCCCCGTCAGCTGTTTTCTCCAAATGTAAACAAGGTCACCTGCGGAAAAATCTAGCACTCTTCGATGTTTGGATTGTGTTGCCCTGGACAAACGGTCGTGATCTTGCCAGTCCAGGAATGCCTTTTCTGCCACTAATCGTCGACGGTGATCTTGTTCCATCTGTTGTTTCGGAGAGGGAGAAATCCAGTCCAGCTGAGGTGATGAGAGGGTAGTGAAAAACCTACCTTCCTCATCGGGCGCTTGTCCCAAAACAATTTGTATTGGTGAGAAACCTCGGATTTGCTCCCGGTGGTTGAGAACTCGCATGGTTTCTGAAAGAGCGTCTTGTGCTGAGACCTCCGGATCGTCCGCAACCAAACACTCCAGAATGTGCTTGGTGGACTGTATGGCTCTTTTGCACACGCTCAGCTTCCAATGAGCTTCGGAGGGAATGAGGTCCAAGTAAATGTGGCTTCGGTCACAAAATTCGGCAAGTTCTTTGCTTCGGAAAGATCCGTCGGGATCCAATCGGAGAGAATGAGGGTAGCCAAAGTATTCTACCCAGGATTCACGAAACACGGAAATGAATTGCGCGGCTGAGAGGTGTTGCTTCTTGCCTTGAGCCACCAGCCGTGCCACTTTGAATCGTGACCCTTCATCCACAAAAACAATGAACTGCCATTTCTCTTTAGTGACCGGATGGTACCAGTGACCCACGTCAGCATTCACCACAGCAAATTTCTTGGGAAGGGGTTCCAAAGACGCAAGATTCCTAGGTTGGGCAAACAGGACAGCTGAAGTTTTCAGCCTCTTTCACAACTGCTTGGGGAACACCTCGGCGTTTTAGAACCTGAAGAAGATGTCGTGTCGGTCCGTGTCCCGTGGCCGCATGAAGCAAGTACAAACGGCGTTGGATCTCTTCTTTAGACATGTCATGTTCCAACTCTTTCTTGTGTTTGTCCGCAGCGAGGCCTTCCTGGAGGACCTCCACATGTTGTGAGATGCAGTGTCCACACGTCAACTGGGCCTCATGTTGTTTTCCTTCATGACACAAACACTTGGTTCCCAAGCCGAACATTTCCCCAAAATTCAGGGTACCCTGAAGTTCCATACCTAACGTGTGGTCCTGTCCCCTATGCAAAATGGCCTGGCACACTCGAACCGCGAATTCCTTCGTATAGAAGGCCGAACGACGAGTGAGGTTTCCTTCACATGGCGTGTGTTTCACGTGGCTCGAACATCTACATGGGAGGTCCATCCTCGTGGACAAAAGGGGATGAGTGGTCATCAGTTTCCAACCTTTAGAAACATATTGGCCTTTATTGTCTTTCAAGTTCACACAACAACCCCTAGTGACAACCACATGGACCCTCTGTTCCCTTTGAATGTTTTGAAGAAGAGGTAATCTCCAAGCCTGACAGGTTTGAGACAGTTCCCAAGTCACATGTTTACCTCTCTGAATGCAGTGCTGAAAAATGATCGAACATCCGACGTATTGTTTCAACGCGTTTTTCCGTTTGGCGGCTAAAGCTTCCCTTTGTGCTTCCGTTCGTTGGTTCAGATTCTGCATCTGGCTGTACGGTCCGCAGTCGGGAGAGAGCCACACATGTTCAGGATCAAGCATGTCGATTTGTTCGATGACAGCACGAACGCCCGAGTTGGTGGTGAGATCAAAACCGTTCCATATCGAAAGTCGACGTGCGGCCTGTTCATCCCTACGGACGCTCTGCATAGTAGAGGTCAAAACACTATCAGTTCCGCAAGCGATCTCCAGTAATATGCATTTCCCAGGTTGTCTAAACATGTCAATGGTGAACAGTTCATGACATTCACGTTCCAAGGAGCAAGCTTCTTGACGAGACATGTGTTGTGTTTCCTGGGAATTAGGTAGCCCACCTAATGCAGCTGAAGGATCACTAAGAAGCGAACAGGTGCTAAGCCCCTCACAAACAGCGTTCACTTCGTCTCCTTCGAAGCCACCAGCGTGAAGTCGCTGTCCGAGCTGGCTCCCTTCTTGCGATGCTTGTCCGGGGTGCTGGCTGCACGTAGTTCCCGGACTTCCTCGATCAGCTCCTTGAAAGCGCCCAGGAGCTCCCCCAGCACCTGTTGAGAAGCGCTGCTGGATGTCACGGAGGTCTGAGTATGATCTTCCGAGACAAGGCTGGAGGCTGACTGGCTGGGAGCCGTGCCCTTGGGCTTCGCCTTGGAGGATCGGAGGTATCCCTGGTCCCTGAGTTCTTGGGCTGTGATTGGGTATGGCTTCACCTTGGAGACTTCCTCTTGCTGGTTCTGGGCCTTGAGCAGCCAACATGCCAGCCGGTTGAGCCGGGCATCTGCCTGGCCTTCCTGGTAGGTGGAGATCACCCAATCGGCGTACTTGGGATGCTGATCCATGATCTCCTGGTAGGAGGCTGCCGCATGCATCCCAAAGCCCACTGGGTCCTCTGGAGATGCTGGAGCCCGATCGTAGGCGACCAAAATGCCGCGTTTCTTCAGCTGTGCGATGGTCTCGTTGGAACCCACGAAGGTGTTGAGTTCCGTCTTGAGGAAACTGATCAGGCTGTCTTTCTCCTCGGCCTCTTCCATCAAAATCAGGCCTTGGTCATTCATGCCTTCCTGAGCGAGCATGCTCAGGTCAGAGGGAGCCAAAGCTTCATCTTCTGACCATTCTTCGGCAGCCATAGCTGAAGAGCGACCATGAGGATCTCGATGTCGTAGTTCGTGGTCAGGAAACTGATTCCTCAATTCTTGAGATACTCGTTCGACAGAGAAGTCATTCTTCAGGGCTGTCATCACCAAGTTTCGTTCATGGACTTCTAATCCTGCATCCTGGAGCAGGAACCAGCCTTGTACGAATGACGGCAACAGGTCAGGAGCCTCTGTCTGCCATGAATGGTCGTTGCTATAGGATGGCCCTTGTGAGGTTGAGTGCCAGCTGTGAGTTTGCCCTTGCCATTCTTGATGATGCCAATCTCCCGAAGATTGCCACCAGGAATGGCTCCAACTCGGCCAGTTCTCAGCTGAGGCTGAGGCCTCTTGCTCCTCGTCCGGGACATCATAGTAGGTCTGCTCCTCAGGGGTATAGTCCTGATTTGTGGGAGGCTGTACTGTATGTGTACTGCTGTAATCACTCCGGGGGGCACTTCCGGTCAGACGCTGGCCAATGTGGGTGAAAAGCGACGTTGTACACGATCCAAAGTTTGACAGGCCCGAGCATATATTTCAGCTTTCCGAGTGATGTAGTCGTTCATGCCTTCTTGCCTGCGGCGTTTGGTCATCTTGAAGTACTTGGACATGTACTCCGACATCTCGGTGAGCTGAGGCTGACCTAGGTGCTTGCGAAGGTGGTCTAAGAGCGTTTGCACGCCACCGTCAAAGGAGATCCATCCAGGTTTCATGGACATCACAAATCTCCTTGCCGTTCCGGTCAGCTCTGCTTGCAGCTTGGGGCCACAAAGGTATCGCTTGTGGATGGGCACTGACTGTTCCCAGTGACTTGCCATCTCGGCATACTCTTGAAACGTCGCTGCATTGCCGTCCCAACATGGGACGCCTTCCTTGTTGCGCTCGATCTGCATATAGGTCTTCTCCATGGCACCGTAGTGTCTCCTGTGGCAAGGCGACAGGAGCTGAAGGTCCCTAGATCTTTGGAGCCTCACGCGAGGTGAGGCTCCGCTACCATGCACGGTAGCCCGGAGGTGTCAAGCTCGAAGGTACTGGATCCCGTGGACACCGATGCGGAATGGCGTGAGTGCGACTCGTCAGGCGGTTTTCCGTCTGCTGGATGTCTTGTACCAAAAGAACTTCGGTCGCGGTGCGACTCGATCACTACACTAGCTATCGTGGGATGATCGTCCAAGTGAACACTTGCATATATATATATATATAAATGTATTTAACTATATATATATATATAACGGCTTGGTTCTTTCTGGTTCAGGACCCTGTCTCGGCTTTTGGACTTCCGCACATGGCAGAACGGTCCTGGGATTGCAAGAAGCAATGGGCTTTTGCTGGTTTTATTTCTTTGCGCGAAGAGCCTTGCATACTTTGTGGCAATCACAGCGCCAAGAACGCCTTCGGCATCTTTGATGCAACCACAATTGAACAACGTAGGTTAGGAAAACAAAGCCAGCAGTAAGCAATAGAAGCCAGGGAATGATGGATAATTCAGTTATTCTGTTAGCATTTGTAAGACAAAACACCTGACAGTGGCTGTAGCAGGACGAACAAATAGAGCACACCAAGCGAACAACTCAGGTGAAGGCTGCAAAACCCCACACTTCCCCAAGTACTAGTAGGCTTTAGATTTTTCCTGGTACAAGGGGTTGACATGCTGGCATGTGCAGCTCACGCAACGGCTGATTGATTTGGCCATCTTGCAAAGCAACATCGAGCAAAGAAGCAGTTGTTTCACACAATGAAACTCAAGCGATGTCAATCGTTCCAAAGTGAGACTTGTTTCACGTCTTGCAGCCAGGCTTGTTCCAACAGCACGTCGATTCGGTTCTTTGGTGTCTCGCCCAATTTTGGGCAAAGCCCCAGTAGCTGCATTTGTGCCGCTGGGACAGAGGTGCGAAGTGAACCCTCAAAGCGTTTAGTAGTGACCGTATACTAGCAGCCATTTGCTCAAAGTTATATTTGATGTCCAAGACTATTCGTCCTGCTTGTTCTTTTGTGTTGGTGTTCTTTTTTTAATCAATTATGCGCTGGCTGGCATTTGCTGTTTACTTCTGTTCTTTGTAAGCTTGCGCACTTTGGCAGGTTCTTCTCAGCCTATGAGGGTCAAGAAGTGACGGATGACCAACTCGTGAAGAAGTGCGCCGAACGTGTATGTCCTTTATGCTTGCAACCAAACAGTAAAAAAGACCAAACCAAGCAACTGTTTGTTGGCAGATGCCATTTTCTGTGTCTTCACAGGAGTTCGGACTGGGCCATTGAGGAGACAAACTTCTGCTTGGGTGTGGATCTTGCAAGCTGGGAATGGGGAAGAACGGTGAATACGGAAAACCCACAGAAACTCCGTTCGACATCAAGGCCGTACCAGCTTCGTCCGGTACAAGGAGACTGATGACCTCGCGTTGAGGACTAAGTTGCAGCTTCTAGCGAGGTTATCACACGGTGCGAGGTCCACAGGGGTAGAGACTCAAGCCGAGGCAACCGAGGCAAATCATCAATCTACAATCAAGTTTGCGCGAGCAATTGCTGTCCACAAACTACGAGCAAGCAACACTTCCGCGCAAATCTGCAAAGGCGTCGAACCAAGCACTTGATGGACTGTCAGCTGAACAAGCAGCACACCCGGTTGCGAGATGGTGCGTCCTGCTCAGTGTACAGGATTTGCATTTGGGCAAGACATAAAGACTAACCAAAAAAGTAGCTTCTACTGCCAGTTGTTGAAGTCGAGACGCGCTTTTTTTCAAATAGCAGATAGAAGGTGATGAGCAAACCAGGAAGTCGATACACTATAGCGTTTCCTTGCAGGATAGAGTGCGTTGGAAGATGTTTTCTAAATGCATGGTTTTATTCAATGGGCTTGGTTTACTCAGCGTTCACAGTGTTTTGATTGCACAAGACCTACCAAAAGGAAGTTGGCAGGCAACCCATAGGTTGTTTCTAGAGGTTTCTATAGGCAGCCCATAGGTTCCCCTTCATCTTGGGATTGTGGGTCTCATATGTCCAACCCTCCAAGGGCTTACTTATAGGGCCAACCCTCGGAAGCAGGGTCCTCGTGGAAACCTGGCTTCCGCTGTGAAGCGGGCACGCTATTGAGTGGCATGAACTTGTGCCAGATGAGGTGTGCCCTTGGGGGAAAGCTTGATTGGGCTACCTTCGCTGGTGCTGCCGGTCTGCTGCTGGTTTTCTGCTGCTGCTGCCTTGCTGCTGGTTACCTTCTGCTGCTGTTGGGTTGTTGGTGTTGTTTTGCTGCTGGTTGGCTGCTGCTTGCTGCTGCCGCTGCCGCTGCCTGCGCTACAAAGCCTACTCATTTGCTCCTGGCTGTTGTTGCACAAACCCAATCATTGTGGCAGTGTCCGGTTGTAAACTGGGCTTGGAAAGCATGGTTTTGGCGAAAACTAAGTGACTCTGCCGTGACTTAGTCACGGTGTGGTGTCACAGAATCGGTGTGCCATGGGGGTTGGATCATTTCAGCCCATAGGAAACCTTAGAACCCATCAACGTGTAGAAGATTGAATCGCAATGGAATGGTGTAGGTTTAGAAACAATCTAGGCTAGGAGAAAAAGTGCTTGTTTCGAAGCGGTGTGCCATGGGGATTGGGAGAGGAATACACACAAGAACGCATAGACATTTTTGACGTTTAAAGAACAATTCCATGCTGTTTGCACTCCAGGTAGAAACTTAAAGCTGGTACCAACATGTGGGTCAGAATCGGGGTGCCATGGGGATTGGATCACGGCAACCCATAGATAGCCTTTGAAAACATCAACATGTAGAAGGTTGAATCGCAATGGAATAGTGTAGGTTTAGAAACAATCTAGGAGAAAAAGTGCTTGTCTGGAAGCGGTGTGCCATTTTGTCCAAATGGGGTAAGTTCTTACATTCGTGGGGTAAGCGGTGTGCCATGGGGGTGGGTCAAGTTCATGTGCGAAGGGGTAAGTTACCACGCCGGGTAGCTCTCCAAATTGCGTTGCCATTGGGATTTGCAGTTGATGTTTTCTCTTTTGGGAAAGGTGAATCTGGAGAACCTTGTTCTGTATGTAGCGTTTACAATGGGGAAGGCCAGCAGTCTTGACTTAAGTACTGACTTTTGCAAATCGGCGTTCCATGGTGGTTTAGTATCCCACATGCAAAATGTATTAACTTCAACGGGCGCCAGTAGCTACTACTAGTAATGCCCTTTGTTCTCCAAGCGTCCGGGAGTTTGCAGCAGGTACTGTCATTCCTTACACTGCCTTGTTCCTGGATGACATGATCGACAGGCCCAAAGTGTTTTGCAAAACTTCGAGTTGGCCTCATGCGCTTTTATAAAAGCATTTTCAGAAAAAAGGCCTTGAACAGCAAGCAGCTGAGGCCAGGCCCCTGCCACATTTTTACCGAGCAGTGTCGCGCTGAGTAGGTGGCAGGGTCGGCCAAGAATTAAGCAAGTGTTTCTTGCGCAATTTTACAGATCGAGCAAGCGTCCGGCTCTGAAACACAAAGATAGGTTGACGCGACATGGCAGTGCATTTCATTTCTCCCCCGTTGCGCTTTGGCACCCTTTGAACCATGAAAGCTTTAAGGTTCTACCCTGTCCAGGTTCTGCAACTTACACTCTTTTCTTTGTTAGACTTCTTTTCACTTGAGGAAAGAATAGCTAATGTCCTTAAAGGGGTTTGGGCTCAAGAGAAACTAGACAAAGTCATGCAGGCAACCGCCATTAAGCCATGGCAGTAAGAAAGCCGCATTTAGCAGAGAAGAAAGATATCAGAGAAAAGGCAGAGATAAAGAGGAGGGAAGAGAAAAGAGGAAACAGAACCACAGACACCACAAGGAAAAACCATATCCTTCGAACAAGCAGACGATGATACAGAAGCAAGCAAGAAGACAGAACTTGCAGAAAAACAGGCTATCACCACAAGAACAATTTTGAGGACAAGAAGCTCATCTACTTCGAAGGCGCTATATGAAATAGCAGCTACACACCACAACGAGTGATAAAAGGACCAGATGAACAACATTTGCACAAACAGCACGTGAGCGCCTTCAGCAGATGAAGCAACTGAGCCCACAAAGGAAGCAAGCTGCCACGTTGAACGTTAGAGGACTGAGCCAGCCAACGAAAAAGACATCTTTAACTTTAACTGTAACTAACCTCATGAAAAAGCGTGAGTATAAGGTTCCTTTAAAAACGGAAGCCGAATTTATAATATATATATAAGCTGTATTGAGAACAGGGATGGTATTGAATCCACGATTCGAGACCAGGAACGCAAAAAACGAGAGAATCCTGCCCTCGGGGAGCGCACTATAGAAGCTCAGACCAGCCATCGACTTGCCGCGGATTTTGAACATGCAGGGGTAGGCATTATAGTCTTAAACTCCGTTACGCATGTACACCAAAGAAAAGGCCGCATTATGTCCATTACCTTTTCGTGTCACGGGCTTGATGTTTTAATGATATGCGCATGTGCCCCAGACAGCCGTTCAACCAAGGACAAGGACACTTTTTATGAACACACTTATCTATATATCTATTTATATATACATATCTGCAGAAGTTACATCCTGTCATGGAAGGTATATCATTGGTGGGGACTTTAACGCTAGGATCCATTACCTACGAAAAGTGGACACTGATGTTTATCCATTACGTACAAAAGTGGACACTGATGTTTGTGGCCCGTACATAATTGGGAGAGGAATGGAATACCTGAACAACATGAGTGACCAAGCAAAAGAAAGCAGGGCACATTGGTGCAAAACGCATCATCTCAAGATCCTGAACAGTCAGTTTTCGAAACTTAGATAGGTTGATAACGTACAAAGAAGATTAACATATATATATATATATAATTCTAAACTTGGCTCCTTTTTGATGCTTACAGACATGCAAAAAGCGACTACTGGCTGACAAATTCGACATGGAGAACTGCGTGCGCAGATGCCCAAAGCCGGCGAGACACTCCTTTTGGTTCGGATCATTTAGTAGTAGAAGCGGAATTCGAGATAAAACCCAACAAGCGCGTGCAAGAGCCCAAGACGTCTAAGACTAAGAAATTCCTGAAACCTACTCTAGCTGGAGTGGAATTGTGTCAACTCTGGATGTGTTCAATCTGTGTCGCAGCAGTCTTTGTGCCAAAAAGCTGTTGAAGGTATCTTGCGCGCTGCTGAACATATTTTTGGAAGCTATACCAATAGAAAAGAAATAATTCATATATTTCAAGAAACACATGGGTAAAAGTTGCAAAAGAAACCAACTTACTTAAGAACAACGGAGGGTCCTCGCAAGAGGTACGACAATGACAACTCAAGAAAGGATTGTGGAAGGCAGTAAAATGTTAAAACCAAAATCCACTGCAGTATGTTCAGATGAAAAACGAACATGGAAAACATGTGCCTATAGTATAGTAGAGAGGGCGCAGACCATTGCCAATTACCTCGAGTCAAAACACTGGGAACACCATTTAAAACCAGGAACGCCGCATGCTGCGCCAATCTTATTATTGAATAGCGGGGCAGATGAAAGTGTATTCGCTCTTGAAAAGTTGAACGCAGCATTAAAGTCAACTAAAGACAATAAACAACCGGGCCCAGATGGCCTCCAAGTGGAATTGCTGGCATGGTTAAACCGCGGCGACCGACAGTTCCTATTAAGCCTCATCAACAGCTGCTGGCGATGTAAGGAAGCGCCTACAGAGCATTTTCTTGCGAGGGTTGTCTCCCTCTTCAAGAGAGGAGATTCCGACAATGCTGCCAATTATAGACCCATCTCTCTCTCTCTCTATATATATATATGATCGTCAAAGAATGCAAAATACTATTAACAATGCTTTATCCAATACACAGTACGGATTTCGGCCTCAAAGATCAACATCCCATGCCACATATATCATTCGCAGACTCCAAGACTACGCCGAGTCAAAAGGTGCCCGATTAAGTCTAGCCCCTTGTGCAACACGATAAACTAATCGTCGCTTTCCAACCAAAAAGGTTTAGTCAACATTATTGCGATATCATTCGCGACTGCTGTGAAAAACCAACATTTCTTGTGAGTTTGGATCATCCCTTTCCCCTATTTGTTTGTTGTTGTGATGTTTTGTGTGGATTTTGAAATTCGCTCCAACATCAGTCGACGGGTACACAATGGCAGAGTCCCAAATCTGGGTTTTGATTTAGTTTACCATGCAGATGATACCATTCATTTTTCTACTGACAGCAGGGCGTTGAATGAAGTGTTAAAGCTCACTGAAACTATTCTCCTGCAAATACGGACTGCGGCTAAACTAAGACAAGTGTGTGGTGATACAAATGAAGAAGGATGGTTTGGTCCATGTTGAATATCATGAACCATTACCAAAGAAGTTCGAAGCGACTTATTTAGGAAACGAAACCCACAAGGAAGCACACATCCGACACGAAGAACAAAGTGCAAGAAGTAAGACAAACCTGGTTCAAATTGCTGCCATACTGCAAAGCAAATGCAAATGTGAACTGGCAACTGCTTATTTTTGATGCAGTTGTTGGATCAAACTTGTTTTATGTGCTTGGAACTGTACACCTCACGGAAGCCATGCTGAAGAAAATTGAGGCCTTCCAACTACGGTACCTGAGGAGAATTTTCATGGTTCCATCAACGTCATAGACAGAAGAAACACAAATGGATAAGTTCTGAGTAGATGTACACCGCTGGCATACCCAAATCGAGGCGTTCGAACCTTTCAGCCAATGATATCTCCAAAAAGAATCTAAGTTTTTGGGTCATGTGCTCAGGGCTAACCACGAAGATCCTATGCGCCAAATATCTTTCCAGCCCAATTGTGCACTCAGAGTTTCTTATGTAAAAAACGAGTCCATCGCCCGAGACAAAATTAGCTGCGTTACGCAAAAAAGCACACTCTTGAACATATCTTAGGAGGTTATGATTACACAGAAACTGTTGCTGAAGATTCACGTATATATATATATATAGCATCCTTCACTCGCACTGTCTGATGCTTAAATATGCCACGGCTTCTTTTGACTATATACGCCAACGCCCTGCATGCATATGACTGATGTCAGTGTGGGGTACGGCTGGGAAAAAAGAACTGGTCCCCGCCAGCATGACTGGGCACTGTGGGCTTTTGCGCCGCTGAAATTCAGCACAAGCACTACCACGGGAACTGCTAGGGCGCCGCATGGTGCATGGCGTTGACGTCTCGCCAACATCTACTTTTGAGCCAGGCGTTGTCAACTGGCCTTGGTTCGACAGGGACGTAGCAATCGGCTGAGCTGCTGAGCTGGCTTCCCGACAGAGGTGCTGGTGTTGGATAAGGTGTTGAGAAACTTGCTGTACAACACTTGTGCATGAGATCACAGCACTGGCAGTTTGCCAAGAACTGCCGGTCTAAGAGAAACGGGCTGAAGGGCAGATTGCTCTCTCAAGCTTCTTGACGTGCCAGATTCGCACCAAAATTTCAATCCCATTCCAAAGCTGTGATCCAGGAGCACATGGTTAAATTCAGTATCCGGAAGTGCTTTAAAGTGCTGAGGAGGTTGCTGAGGGGGTATCCGTTGCCTGCTTCTTTGAGGTGAAGTGCCAAAGCGGCTAAAGATAAATGCTGAAACTTTGGGGTGCTTTCCAAGAGGCAAGATTTCTTGTACTCCGGCCACTCTGCCTCCGCTTCTTCTGTGTTTTGCTGCCAGGCCTCCGGGCTTGTGTAGACAGTGATTCGTCGCCCATGTGGCTGCGTTTGTCCACAACTATGATTTGTTTGTTTGTTTCAGGGGGCCTCACATGATGGCAAAGCGATTCCCACTACTGTTCGTCAATTTATGTGTTTAACTCCAAGATTAGAAACAGGCTTCTGCAGAGGGTTTAAACTTTAGATTCAACACTTTAATTTTTGTTGCTAAGGCCATTGTTGAAGTGGACTTGGGACGAGACTTACGATGAGGTGATTGGCAGCAGCAGTGTTCGACCTCTTTCTACAAGAATCCCTCTGCTACCTTCGGACCTGTGTGGTTTGCTTTACCAAGAAACTGTCACAGGCTTATGAGAAGCCCAAGGGTCGCACTCTCAGCTCAAGATTGGAAAGCACTGGGTACACATGTTGGAAGAATTTGACCACATGCAAAGGTCAGGACTGCCAACCAGCTTTTCAGGCAGCTCCATTGTTGACTCATTCAGGTGCCAAGTGATGGCTCTGTGATCCCCAGCTAGTGAGAGTGACATGCCAGGCGCTTGAATAGAAGTTGTTCCTTAGGTTTTTGGAGAGATTGGTTCATCACCTGCAGCCTGGCTGTTAAGAAAAGCGTGCACTTCAATGACTACTGGCAGTTGAAGCTACTTGTCATTTCTTGGTCCTTGTCTTGAAAGTTGGACGAACTTCTGCCGTGCACTCTCGGCCCAAGAATTGCTGAGCTTGAAAGCGACAAGAAGTCATGCAGTTTGCCAGCAACGTACATGAAGGTCTAAACATTTAGAAATTTAGTGCAGTTCGATCAATATTGCGAGCAACGCAACACACTTAGATATATAGCTCAACTGAATGAACATAAATTTCAGTATTGATTCGCCACTGCACTAGCCCTTGACCTTGCAGCCAATTATAGACCTTGACTTGCGCAATGGTATGGCGAGAAGTCAGCGCAAAAGAACGGTTAAACAAAGAGTGACTCGGTGGCCCTTGTTCGGAAGAGTGGGGTAACAGCTTGTCAACGCCACAAACAAAAGCAGCTATGTGGAAGCGGCGTCTCACTTCCATATCCTCGGATACATCGCCAGCTTCGTTGACCAGGCGACGATGTACCCTGCCTGGTCCCCTGCTGGACACTGGACACCTTTAAAAATTGCTCTTGGACACAGAGTTGGACACACATAGAGTGTGCCGTAAATACTCGGCGCTCGAAGGAGGCACTGAGAAACTCGGCAGAAACTCGGAAGAAACGAAAGCGAGAGAAGAGCAAGAGCAAGAGGAAAGAGTGAA